CCTTCTCACAATAGCGTCTCTAGGCAGAGGGCCGTGCAGTTTGGAACTGTCCCTTGACAATGCATCTCTTTTGGGACTTTGGTGAGATCTCTACAAATGTTTCTCTCAGTAAGCCTCATCTGAGTTTTATTTCCAAGTAAGTAAGCGTAGGATGGTGCCAAAAGGGGAGACGCTGGGACAGCCCCTGCTTTTGAAGAGTTCTTTCTTTTTTTTTTTAAAACAATTTTTATTGGTTTTTTACAAAGAAACAGAGAACAGAAAACAGACTATTCGTCAATATGAAATCAGAACAGTTACAGATACAGTGAATTAGATACGGTGCGGACAGGTTCAGAACAGTCTTCTATTTATTTTATTTTTTGCCTTATTGAGATACAATAAGGTTGAGTGAGAGCGTTTTTGGTTTGGAATTGCGGTGTGGCCAATTTGGAACTAGTACTGATCGCTAATGGGGGTTTTAAACATGCTATATCAGGGAATGTCACAGTTCTTTTGTTTTGTGTCACCTCCTCCCCAGCATAGTTGTCTTTTTTGTGTTGCTTGAAACACCCAGGAAAAAGAGATTCCCGCTTTTGCTTGCATTTTGCTGGGGTAAGGTGACTTTTTTTCACCTGTCTTGGGTAGATACGTGACCTGCAAACAAGCAAATTGCGCAGATGCAGATTTCCCCTCTTTGCTATGCATGAGATGAACAGAACTTCTCCAGCTGAATTGCTATATTACAGTTCTTAAAAATCCAGGAGCCCTAACAGAGAAGAAAAGAACCCTACTTAGAGAAGGGTCAGGTTTTCCCCTTGGGCATGGGATGTGAAATAACTTCTCAGTTGTCCTGAGTCATTTGTTCCTTTATTCAAGGGGCAGACAGTAGCCCCATTTAAACGTTTTTTGCACTCTCCTTGGGGTTGGGGGTGTTTTCTTTGCTGCCAGACAAGTTGCTGTTCACTGTGAGGCTCTGTGGCAAGTGTTTTCTTACTTGAACATCCATTCTGTTATAGAAAAATGAGCTGAGGCAGTGTATGTATTTCATAGCTTCTGCTGTTCCCTGACTGAGGCTGTCCAGTTACTCTAAACCACCTCATAATTTTTGTGGTAAGCTGCGTCCCTCTTTCTAGGAAGGATCTAAATTACTGCTTTTGGTCCCTCTTTCACTCCTTTTTTTCCTTCTCTCTTTCCTTCTTTCC